TTTCCTTTTCTTTTTATCCCCTAAGTCCCTGCCTTCTGATCTCTAGAGAAAGCCCTCCACTGAGGCTGCTTGAGCCATAGTGGCCGCCAATAGAGAACTGAGATAGTTTTCTGATCCCCAGGATATATTGGGTTGGGGGAAACCGATCTATTCTAAACTTTTCAGTTTTACCGAAAAGGAGGCTCAGAAAATGACTAGCCTAAGGTTACACAGGCAAAAATCAAAATTAGAACTCAGGTCTCCTGACTCCGAAAATCTAGTGCTTTTCATACTGTACTAGAACTGAGCTGGAGGTGATTGGTACTAAGTATAGGGAGCTGTGAAAGGAAGAGAGTGTTACATTCATGCTGAGTTAACAAGTGACTGAGCTGCTCTTCTGACTGAATCTACCCTAACAGAGAGCAGAAAGAAAGTAGGAATTAGAATGGGGAGCCCTGGGTGGGACTCGGGCTTTTTCAGGTGTTGTTGCCACTGCCCATGGGGCAATTATGCAGATGATAGTTTTAGGGAAAGAAATACTCCCTCTGTCCCCAAATACCACCAAAGGACTCCCAAAGAAAGAAGGTTGCTCAATTAACAGTAAGGACTCCCTCTCTGGAGAAGAGACCAACAGGCTTACTCACTCCGGAGTGAGGGTTTCAAATCCACATCAAATCCATACACCTTTTCTTACCGAAAACAAAGAACTTTTGTTTTATAGATACACATTCACTAACTTTCCCTTTTACTTTTGGCTCTTTGGTGTAAATTTATCCTGTGCTACACAGTCTGAGCCTGGTTTGGATTTTCTGAATAAAAGATAGCTATGCGGGGGGGGGGGGGGAGAAAACCACGTCTCCACTGTACGCTTCATATACTAATACAGCCAAAAGATTTTCTGGTAATATTCATCTGTTTAAAATCTTGGAACCCAAGTGGCTTGATTTGCCATTGTGGTGATTGTTGTTATTGTTTGGGTATTGCTAAATACCCAAATGTTTGAAAAAACAATTTTTTAAGATCTGTCCACTAGGTTGTATCAGACTACTCCCCCAGCTGCTGCTTTATAAACCATCTCAAGAATAGTTTAAGTTAATATTTTAAGGTCAATTTATTGGCATTAGTAGGGCTTGGTACAGACATTCTCAGACCTGGGGTTGGCAAATCACTGTACTGTATATATCGTTGTTTTTATTGTTGTTGTTGTTGTCCCTTTGTTCTTGAAGAGGACCTATGACATCACAAAGGTGACATCTTGACTTGCATATGAATTGGATTTAAGTGAGGCAGAGCTTCAAAAAGTCTTCAGCCTCACTCTGTCCCCTAGAGTCATCAAAGTCAGGTGGGGAAGACTTGATTACAGTATGAGCTCTCGGTTCTGTCTGCTCCCTCTCCTGTTATCCTGGCTCCTGCCCAGCTTAGATGGGTCAAAATGGCTCAGATGCCCCAATTCTTACTTGGGCAGATTTGCAGCTGTTGATCTCATCAGTGGCAGGCGATGTGTATTTTTCTAAATATGGATGGAAAGGCCTTTCCCTTTTGTAAACCTGTTGATCTAGATAGAGCCTGAGAGTATGTGAGGCAAGCATGATGAGTCCACTCAACTGACTGCAATTATTATCTTGAGAACTAGAATTGAAGACCTCTGTGTTTACTGTTCCCTGTCCTAATCCTGCCATCCTTCAAGACTAGTAGACCAGGGGGAAACCATTGTCCTTACCTGAGCTTCAGCAAGGAATTTGGCAAAGTTTACCATGATATCCTTTGGGACAAAATGGAGAAATGCAAGCTGGATGTGATGTAGTTAGAGCTTCACTGGATCCTGCCATCCCCATTAGCTATAATCCTATATCTCTCCTCCCTTTCTCTGTCACAGTCCTTGAAAAACATGTCTACACTATGTGCCTCTACTTCCCCTCCTCTCACTCTCTTCCAATCTCTCTGCAATCTGGCTTCTGACCTCTTCACTCAACTGAAACCACTTGCTTGGAGTTACCAGTTATCTCTTAACTGCCAAATCTAATGACTTTTCCTCAATTCACATCCTTCTTAAGCACTCCTTTCTGCAGTATTTGACACTGCTGACCACATCTCCTCCTAGACACTCTCCTCTCCAGGTGTCAATGATTTGACTCTCTCTTGGTTCTTCCCATTTGACCCCTCTTTTTATATCTCCTTTCATGGATCTTAAACTATATCACATCCACTAACTGTGGGTGTACACCAAGACTCTGTTCTTGACTCTCTTCTCTTTGTTCTCACTTGGTGACTTCATCCGCTCCCAAAGATTCAATTATCATCTTTTTGCAGGATGACTCAAGAATCTATATATCCAGCCCTTATTTATCTCCTAAACTTCAATTCTGCATTCTGAACCATCTATTGAATACTTTGAATTGGATATCTCCTGGGCATCTCAAAATCAACATGTCCAAAAACAGAACACATTATCTTTTTCCCAAAACATACCCCTTTTTCAAACATCCCTATTACTGTCTAGAGAACTGGTGTAACTGAAGTCATCTTCAACTTTTCACTCTCATGCACTCCATATATCCAATCAGATTATAACTTCATTCTGAGTCAAGCAAGTAATATGGTGGCCAAAGAAAGTGAACGGGATACATTAACACTGAGTAGTGCTAGTCCCATGTCCTCTACCCTGGTCAGAACATATCTCCAGTACCCTATTGAGTTCTGTGTACCAGATTTTATGAAGAATATTAATAAACTGCCCAGAGGAGCACACCCAGGATAGCTAAGAAACTCAAATTTAATAAGATTAACTTTTTTCTATAGTTATTAAAAGTCAACAAAAACAAACAAATACACAAACACAAATTTTGAAAAGTCTGTACTCAAAGTCATCAACTCCATAGTTTAGAAACTGGTTTTTAAAATGCATGCAAATAAGAACAAAATAATAACAAAAATGTCTTCTTTATTATTATGCCATCCATGAGGGGAAAAAGTCACCAAGCTCCCCAGACAGGAAAGAAGCAAAAAGAAAGTAGCTAAAGGTGATTGGCCTTTTTGAAGGCCTCTGAAGCCAATCAGAGAGCCTCTTCTTCACTATGAGGTTAGCGAACCAGAGCCAGTTAGGGAATGTCAATACATGCTCCACTGTGTCTTTCCAAGGCATTCTTTCTTATATGTTATTACAATTCTCCCAGAAGCCATCTTCCCTGGGTTACATCAGTGGAGCAAGATGATGGGGTCTTTATATGTATGCCAGACCCCCATCTTTTATGGCCAGCTATACACATTTGGGAGATGCTGGGCTGGATGAGAGGTCCTTATAGAACAGAGGAAGCCCAGTGGTAGGTAAATCCACCTGGCTCTTTTTTCTCCCCTGCTAAATGCCATAATCTCAACTCTGCATGCTTTGCTGAATCCCTTCAGGTTAACATTGGGCCTTCTTTCCCTCTTCTCTGTCTCCAAATTAACTGTTCGCTGAAAGCCTGTTTGGTCTCTTGGTTCTATTTTCACCTGCCTTTATTTTCATTCTGAAGTGCCTGAAGCTGGTCAGCTCAGTCTCTGCCCCCAGCACTGCTTCCTGTCTCTCAGTCTTCTTATAACCTACTATATAGCACTTACCATATTGATCCATACTTTTCTCCAAATTTAACTTGTATAAAATCTGAGTGTGGCTTCTATTAGTATAACATTTTTTGATGTATTCAGATTTTTCCTCTTTCAAATAAATCTCATTTTTAAGTGATATTGGACTAATATGATAGTTTGTAGAATTATTCACTGAAACGGGAATCAGGAGACCTACGTGCTCATCCCAGTTCTATGCCAATTTGCTGTGTAACTTTGGACGAGTAACTTCCCCTCTCTACGTTCCACTTTCTTCTGTAAAATCCAAGATTTGGATTTGATAACTTCTAAGATCTCTTGCAGCTCTAACGATCTAGGATCCTGTGAAGACTGATGATGCTAATTGGAACACAGTTGCAATATACCACATAGGAGAAGTGAAAACCCTATGAGAAATACAGATTGGAGAGCCCTGGGTTGTAACCTGGTTATAACCCAGGGCTCTAGACTTCTGAAAAGGGCCATCTATTTCCTTATTCAGTCCTGCTCATAAGTTACCTCCCCTGATCTGCGCCCCCTCTCTGTGAATGCTAAGCATGCAGCTTATGAAGTGTGTGTGAGAGTACTGTGTTTTATCAGGGGCATCGATTATCGGTGATGGCTATATAAATCTTTCTCCATACGCATACATATACATAAGATGTATATAAATATGCAGAAAATATTCACCCAGACCAGATCTCTCCAATGATGTAAACTTATCCCCATAAAGATAGTGGGAAATGATTCATAATATTTATATGACAGACATGATATGAACTGTAATAGCCTGTTGGGATTAAGACTATCCATAGGTCTCTGTCAGCCACAAATGTGATTTAAATATTATATATGTGGCAACTGTAGCATTGGTAATGTGATAGCGGTTATTGATAGCAGTCATAAAGGGGAGTCGTTTTGCATTGAAGAATGTGGAAAATAATCTAGTAGTTTGCCTAATGTTCTTCAATGCAATGCATTGAAAGAAACTCTACTTTAAAATGTCTTTTTTTTCCCCGCCGATTGCCATCAAGTTAGAGCAGATTACTTTCCCCAAGATATTTCATTCCCCGGCTGTCAGTTTGTGGCATCTGAGCCAGTCTTGGCTAGGCTCCAGGCTGCGACTCAAAGTTTGCAAATGAACCTGGGGTCTTGAAAGAGTATGCCGCTCCTCCTCCCCTCTTGCTCCTCCACCTCAGGCCCCATCCCACTGTTCCCCTGCTTATTAAATCAAAATATCCCCAATGTTTCTGGGAAGGCTTCCAGAGTTCAGAGCTGAGGGTGTGTAAGTCAATAAGTATTTATTAAGTATCCACTGTGTACACAAATCTGTGCAAGAAAACTGTGGGGACCATAGTAAAAGATGTAGTCCATGCCCTCAAGGGGCTTATGGAATACTCTGGCTGGAGATCTGTGGATAAATAGTGCTCAACCAAACTTCTTCTCAACCGGCCTTAAGGTTTTGTGGCATGGACCCCATCTGGGGAAGCCAATGTATCCTTTCCAGAGTAATGTTCATAATGCGTAGGATAAAATACGTAGGATTGAAAAAAGAAGACGATTACATTGAAATATGGTTGCATATTGATACTCACGTTCTATACAAGCTAAACCCAAACATTCTAGGATGTGCTTGGTTACTAGAGCAATACAGATAAAAGGAATTAACTGAGGATTCTCGAATACTCTACTCAGTGTCTAAGGTGGGGAGTGTTAAAGCAGGCATGTTCTGGAGCCGGTTCAACCTCTTGAGAGCTGATTATTAAATTTTCAGGGTGAGCATCTTATACATCAGAAGTAGGCAAACACTATGAATCACTACAAGGTGTTTTTTTTTTCATTGTCTAGACTTCAGAAAATGATGGCGAAAATCTTAATAATGCAGATTTTACGCAAAAGTGTGTAATGCGTGCATTTTTCCCCCATGGAGTCAGGTATTAAACATTTACCAGTTCACTCCCGGTTGGGATTGGGGGGTGTTAATAATACCATGGACTTTTTAATTTGGGTATAATATTTTTAAAATAATGCATATCTTTCCAGAATATTCTTGTTTTTGTTTCTCACCTTTCCCTCCTCCATCTACAATACAATGCATGCATATACTTATACACATAACATATATATGTTATATATCTATGTGTGTGCATGTATATATGTGTATGTGTATATGCATATAGGTATATATATTGTATATGCAAATATATATACAGCTATATAAATCCCTTACTATGTACAAAGTGCTGTGGTAGGCACTAGAAATATGAAAAGAAAGTGAAATGGGGCCTACTGTCATGGAGCTTATGTTCTTCTTTTCTCTTGAACATTATCACTTAGAATGTTAGTGCTAGGAGGGGAATTTCAAGGTCAAAGAAATGCCTAGTCCTATTACATATGGAGGCACTGAGACCCAGAGAAAGGAAGTGAGTTGCTCCAAGTTACTCAGTGAGATAGCATAGAGCCAGGGTCTCCTCCCCCAGTACAATTTTCCTATTGTCCTTTCCTTTGTCCTCAAGGAAAAATCTACGAGATTTAGGAAGAGGAGAAGCTAGAGGTTGGGGAAGGCTTTGAAAGAAAGCTGCACGGTCTCATAAGGTGGCTGTTTGTGGCTGTATACTTCTAGAGGACACAGACTTGACATTTTCAGGGTGTTCTAATTGCCTGCCCCCCAAACACCCAGTAATGGACTATGTACCTTCATAGCCCCAAACCATTCGTTAAATGGGTTGTTAATGAAGTGCTAGGCTGGTGTCAGGTTCCTAAATTTACCACCACCACTGACTCCCTGCCACCATCACCATCCTTAAAACACACACAGTCCTTTGCTTTGAAAGAATAGATTTCAATCCCAGAGGCTCCAGTACCCACTCAGTAAAATGGGTTCCAAGGGCCTAACAACAGGGTGTTCACACTCTATTCTGAAGGCGCAGCTCAGACAGGCGCTGGGATGAAGGCACTGGCCAATAGGGATTGGAGGGTTTGTTTGGAAGGGTGAACTTTTCCATCTGCCTCCCCTCCCTTCCCCCCACCCCACCCCAGCCTCCAGCACTGGGTTTCAGTTCTGGTTCTTGCCAACAGGACGGCTACTGTTTCACATTCAAAGAATTAGACACTCATCATTAACAATTGGCCCTTGTTTCCTCTCCTAACGGAGTGGCCCTTGATCCTGAAGAGAGCCACTATTCCTGGGCTAAGATGTCACAAGGGGGAGGGTTTGGCCTTGAGTACGCAGTACACCAGGGAAGAGAAGACCAATGAAAAAGGTGTTTGGGTCCAGGGCCTCGTCTGATGTGACTCAAACCGCAGCATAGATACTTAACTGGAAGCAGGAGAGCATCCAGAAAGTCTTGGGTAATTCACTGCTGCCTCATCCACAATTCTTTCCTCAATAGTGTTCAAATCATAATACCAGATAGTTAAAGATCACAGGCAAGGACATGTTGGCTCCTAACCTGAGAAGAGAGACTGGAATGAAGTAAAGGAAGGATGGGGTTTTAAAAGGTTTACCTAACAAAGTAAAAAATAATATTAACTAGGTTATTGATCCATGTGGATGGGTACAATGCACCACTACCCTTCTTTCCTGCCTCTGGATTAGATGAGCTCTAAGGTTCTAGCATTCTCTGTTCTAAGGTCTCTCCTATCTTTGGCATTCTGTATTCTAAGTTCCTGTCAGCTCTGACATTCGTATTCTAAGTAAGATCCCTTCAGAGCCCCATGGTATGGATAGAGTACTACTATGGTGGCTAGAGAACCATATTAGGTGGCCCAGTGGATAAGAGTGCCAGCCCTAGAATCAGGAGGACCTGAATTCAAATTCAGCCTCAGATACTTATTAGCTGTGTGACCCTGGGCAAGTCACTTAAGCCTGTTTGCCTCAGTTTCCTCATCTTTAAAATGACCTGGAGAAGGAAATGTCAAACCACTCCAGTATTTTTCTCAAGAAAATCCCAAATGGGGTCAGGGAGAGTTAGACACAACTCAACAACAAAAGAGAACCATCCTTGAGATCAGAAAGATTTGGGTTCAAGTCCTAAGTCTGATACATACTAGCTATACAACCATGAGAAAATCATTTAACCTCTCAGTGCCCCCTGGGCAACTCTCTAAGACTATAAATTACAAATTATCAATCCAAGTTAGTGGATGGAGTTCTCAGATTGTGTATACTACATCCCTTCCCCCTGGGAAAAAAAGAAGGTCCCTTTAAATTCTAACATTTTTCCCTCTGAAATTCATCAAAGACTCCTCAGTGTAACTTCAGTCCCATTTCCCCAAGTCGCCTTAGGTGGTAGTTATAGTTCTCTCCTCTCCTCCACCGGGTCTGACCTCAGTCTAGCAGGGAACACCTCCCTGGGCTCCACCCAGACTGCTCTACTCATTGCTTTTTGTGCTTCCTGCTTCTATGGTTTTCGTTACATGGAATATTAGAATCACAGAAGTCTAAAATCATAGCCATTGGTCTCACCCCACCTCTGCCATCCTGGAAAGTCCTCACTCCTCCTTTTTGACCTCTCCAAATCTGACTGATCCTCCAATTGCCAGCTCAAAAATTCCACCCCTTCCATAAAACCTTCACTAACCACCTCAGCCCACAATGAATTCTCATCTTCTCAGAATTCTCTGATCTCCCCAGAAATTAGTGATTTCTCCCTCCTTAGACTATCTCATATCAGAGCTATTTGTGTCCATTACCTTCCTCCTCACCCCAAATAGAATTCAGGCTCTTTGAAGGCAGAAACTTTTATTTTTGTCTTTGTATAATGTGGGTGAACCAGCCTAGTGGGGTCATTCTTTGGACAATGCATAGATAGTCGCTGCGTAGTTCTGGTCTACACTGTGGAAATGGGGAAGAATCCTACTTCTAGTCATGCACAGGGGTTGCACAGTGTGATGAGAAAGAGTGTGATAATTGGTTGCTGAGCCAGAAAAATCTGATGACTCAAGGGTTTATAGAAAAGCAAGCTATAGGTTTCTTGGAGGAAAATTGTTTCTTCTCTTGCTATGAAATATGAAGATCTCTAATCCTCTAAGACTGAACCCACTTTCCCCATAGATCTTGTGTGTATTTGTTAAAGAGTACACCTCAAGTCTTGGGAGAATGTCTTCTACCTACTGCTTTTACTATACCATCTTAGTAACACCATTACTAAAAGCTAATTAAGTCTGTTGTTTGATTTTTAATGGGGAGCACATTGGTGAGGGCTTGTGATCAACAGTAGAGGAAGTAGCCACCCACAAGGTAACCTCTAAAACATGAGGGTAGCGGCAGTCATCCTCAGGGTACCCCAGACCAAGAATATAAACACAAGTTGTGGGGAGGGCTAGTAGTCCCAATTTAGATCCTCAGGCCCAAGCACAATGCTTTGAACTTGAACTAGGAGGCTAATATTTATTGAATTGTATGGATTTCTCATGTGGCACTTATCATGCACTTTATATCTTTCCAAGTATCTTTCAAAATAAGTAATTAACTTACTAGAGGACAAGGACTGTATCTTTGACCTGTAGCAAGGTCAGAGGTATATACCAAGAAGTATTGCTAGGTAAGTTCCTAATCCGTCATGACAAGGTATGGAACTCCCCTAGACATGATGTAAATTTCCCTTGTCCTGGTTTCTGTTTGTCCTGCTACGGCCTTTGTTTGAACACTGACTCAAGTCCATGGCTAGTTACACACCTGATCTCCCTTTGGCTTGGCCATTAAAAAAATACACAGAAGCATAGAGAGGAATTATGCACAGAAAGACTTATTTCACTAGAGAGAAGTCTTTCCAAAGAACTATCAGCCCCAATGTTACCATGGATCCTGAGAAATTGTATAAAGGAAAAAAAAATGAACAGAGAAAAAAGAAGTCTTCCTGAGAAAAAGGAACTCTGGAAATGACAGAGAGGATCTCTTGAGGAAATGGGCAGAGACAGAAGGAGCCATTTCTCTAGAAAGAGAAAGGGAAAAAGGTTTGACCCAATAGAGATCTATGGATCTATCCCATCTGTGGTAGTGTGAGTCACGTGGACTGTGTAGGTTTATGTGACTTGCTGGGGGTGTAAAATTCCCTAGCAAACTTGAATTCTTTCCTCTTGTATCAGGATTCCACCCAGGGTAGTCTAAGTCAGGAGGACTGCATAAATCTCTAGAAATGGAGGTAGCCCAGCAAAGAAAGGAGAATTGTCTTAAGTATTTATTGGCTGGAATAAAAGCTGCATTACATTTTCTGTTGGATTAAATAAAACCCATCCTATGTCTGCTATTTTCTTAACTTAGGTGCTTGCATGAAAGCTGCAGGGTTTTTTTAGATATTGGCTAAATTCTGATGTTCCCAAAGGAAAGTAAAATGACCTAAATTCTGATGTCTCCAGGGGGAGATCTTCGGTTGGGGCAAAAAGAGCCTTTATTAAGTAGTTGCTGTAAAGCCCTCAAGACAGAACTTGGTTAATGATGTGCCTTTTTTAAAATCTTGGACAATAACCAACAAAGAGCTCAGGACACAATAAGTATTCAGCAGATGTGCTCTTTGATTAGTTAAAAATTCATAAATATTTCTGTACTTGCCATAGCAAAACTTTGCATTCATTCACTTGTCCATTTTGAATTCCAAAGTCATTTCACCTCTTATTTCATTTTATCCTTATAGTGACCCAGTAAGGAAGGAAGTCCATTTTACAGAAAGGAAAAATTGAGGCCCAGGGTTTTATCCCAAGTCAACTAGGTACTTAGCAGTGGAACATGGTGACAAGACTAAAACTTAGGTGTGCTAAACAGGTGTTCTTCCCACCAGACTTTATTATCTCATCTCAACAAACTCCAAAGTTTTCTCACCAAGATTTTAGGTATTTTCACTGACTAACAGATTTGGCCACAAGACTTTGAAGTATCCCTCCTACCGTTAACAAGGCTGCTTTTCCACAGTGTGGAACTCTGGGCAAATCACTGTTCCTCTCTGGGCCTCAGTTTCCTCCTCTGTAAAATGAGAGGTGTGGACAAGGTGATCTCTGAGGTCTTTTTAGGCTCTGAGAGTCAATGAAACTATGAATCGCCGGGTTGAGGGAGAATTGTGCCCTCAAGCCTGAATCTTTGGCAAGGTTTTTGTAGCAATATACCCTGGCTTTGTGGAAGACAGAAGGGAAACCCAAGTTCAGCCCTGCTGATCACATGACACGGCTATCAGATCTAGTTTGAGAGATTGCAGGGTTTCTGCAGTCAGAGGAACATTGAGACACCTAGTCTATGGATATGCAGTCACCTTACTAAGTACACCCCATATCACATCACAGCAAAGTGAATGAATGAAAAGGATACACCCAGAGGTATTACCCACGCCCAGGCTGGAACACAGCAATTCAGTGATCTGTGCGTATCCAGACAGAACAATTGAGCTTGGGTGGCAAGATCAGATCCTTGACCTTCTGTAACATGTCCAGCCCTGGCTGCTATATGCCCCTCTGGCTCGTTAAGCAGAGAGGGCATTATCTGATAGGGAAACCTTATCACACAGATATCTTTGACAGGCTTCATTTCCTGGGATTACTCTTGAATATTTTAGACCCAATGAGAGAAACACATCCATTGAGTATATACATGAATACGTACACAGGCATATTGTTTTCTGACCAAGGAGAGATGCAAGAGGGGGACACAGCATGGAGAAAGGGCTTCGTGGTGAAGCGGAAACAGGAAACCATGGGCTGGGAGACCCATATTCTAGTTTCAGCTTAGTTACTACCTTAGTGCATGTGGTAGAGGACAAGTCTTTTACCCTTTCTGGGTCTCAGTTGAACTATCTGTAAAATGAATGGGTTAGACTACATCTGATCTCCAAGGCCCCTTCTAGCCCTAACAATTTCATGTACTATATTACAGCTTGCTATGTCATAAGGTCCTTAGCAACAGTGTGATATGGATCTCTGATTAACCATAACAAGAAATTGATCTCACATAAAACCCAAGCCATCTCTCACATGGCTTTGTTTTCTAACTACTCATCATCCCAATCTCCCTCCTGTGGATACTTTCTGGTTTGTCAGAGAAATAAGCTCAAAGAATTAATGATTAGTGCTCAATTCTTCCTGGTTACTTCCCACCCCTAGAATCTCTCCAATCTACTTGTCTTGAAATTTTGCCAGTGAACATTAATAATGTGCTCCATTTCCAAAGAACAGAAGGCTGAGTCTAAATGACCAAAATATTTGGATCACAGCTTGGCTAATTAGCTCATTTCAGCTGTTTTAAATACTGACACAGAGCACGGGGTGGTTTGTTTGGCTCTGGAAGTTCCTACTAGTAGACAAGGTAATCAGGACTGACCTGTTGAGGCCATGGCACAGTTGAGTTGTTTGGTTCCACTTTGTGGCACATGTGGAGATAGCTACAATTCTTGAAATGGCTCACATTTCATCAATGGAGCACCATGTTTCCCACTTGACACATTTTTCCATCCAGCAGTATTTGTCCTCCCTCAGCATCCCTACTCAGTACCAAGGAGACTTTCATTAGAGAACTGAAGTAAAGGTCTTGATCTTGTCCATCTAGGCTCATGGTTCTAACTAGGATAAGGACACCAGAGCTTTGACCCAGTGCAAAAAAAAAAATTGTAAGGAACCAGT